GAGTTCCTTTCATCAATGAAATCACAGGGCTGGTCCAAAAAATAAGAACAACAACATGCTAGACATTAGGTCTTAGCACTCTCCTGCACACTCCCCTTTCAGCTTCTTCTGAATTCTCTCACTGCCTACAGGATGAAATCCAAAGTCCATAGCCTGGCATTCAAGACCTCCCATAATCAGGAACCAACTTCCCTTTCCAGCCTTGTTTTCCAGTGCTCCCTTTCATATGCCCTATAAACCCAAACACCCCAGCCAAACTTCATTACTCACCATTATATGAGCATCGGACCCATAACTTGGAATGGGCAACTTTGGTTGAGGAGAATGATTGAGGAGGGGACAGGCAGAGGAAGGTGTATAAGGTATGAGCACTTCTATGTGTGGTCATGGTAGACTGGAGACAGAGGTAAAAAGAGTTGAGGAGGTGATGGAACGGAGAGGTCAAAGTATTTAGAGAGGGTAGGGTTAGGGCGGAAAAGAATTAACTTAATGAGGGGGAAGGAGATTGACCTGGAGATCCCCTGAGGACATCAGCAAGGATCTGGCCAGACTGGAGTGAACTGTCCAGGGTGGAGAGGTGATGCTGAGTGATGGGACAGGAGGGTCTGAAAGGGATTGTGACGTACAAGAAGTATGCCAACACTTCCTTATGGTCCTGATTGAAAGGGGAGGGAGGGATTGTCATCGTGAGAGAGGGAGCAGCCCGCCTTGGAGAGGATGCCAAGAGATGTGACATCTTCAGGGGAGAGATGTGCTTTCAATGAGCACCAGAAGATGAATCAAATGTGTGAGGAAGAAAACGAAGGTGATTAAGAGTTTGTTACCGATAAGGAAGGTTCCAGACATCTCAGTGGAACGGTGTGACAGGGACAATCAGGCGTGGGGGGAGATAAGGCTGGTCTGGAGAAGGATGAGAGTGTGGGGAAGGGGACAGAGGAAGGAGTTTTTCTCCAAGGCAGAGGGTGGTTCTGAATCACAGGGATGGGGGGAAGGGGAGTTCCCAGAGGCAGCAATTTTGCTAACCATGGTGCTCGGGGCATGCCCAGGACAGAGAAGCTCAGTCTACTCCAAGGTTCTAATTAGAATGGTCTTCTGCAGCCCCTCACTCTGAGCTGGAGCCCGCTTCTCTCCTGACATTATAGTGGGAGAGGGGGAGGATTATTTGTTTGACAGGAAACCTATCAGCTCTTATCAATCATTGACAAATATTTACTGAGTGTTTACTTTGTGTGGGGCACTGTGTTTGATACCAGACCAAGAAAGAACTAGGAGGCACGATCCCTTTCCAACAGTTTACTTTAGAGGAGGGGAATACTTTTTCTGTACTTCCCAATATGGCACAGGTCCCCAGGCCAGGTAGCATCAATAATTGCAGTCTACTGCAGTGGAAAGTCAGTCCTGAGAGAGGGCAGTGACCAACATGGGACCCTGGGAGGTGGCAGCCTGAGGCTAGTTGAATGGCTGGTATTCTCCCGGAAGACGGTAGAAATTATGCCACCCTTGGATGTCAAGGGACAAAACCCTGGTTGCCCTGTGCTAGTTCTAACTTTATCTGAACTGGCTTCTCCCTTTCCTGCTTCTCTCTCTTGCTCATGTTGTTCACTCTGCTCGGAACATTTTCTACCTCCAACTTGCAAGGCCATCTCTGACATGTAGCTATCTCTCGTCCCCCAAGGTATATTGGACCGATCATATTTTTTATTATTCTACATTCTTATTCTGCCTCATAACCCCTAACCCTGTTCTTCACCCTCACTGTGATCCCCAATCCTTTCACCTCTCAGATATTTCCCAAGTCATTATTCCTGTACTGGTTGTATTCTCTTTCCTTCCCTATGTTCACGGTGGTGAAGTGGTTCAGCTTTACACCCCTTTATTTATCCTTTCATTAATAAAGCCTTGCCAAGTCCAAACCTAGGGTTACTCCAACCACAACCTGCCTTCATTCCTTTCCACGTGTTGCTGAACAAAACTGGAGAAAAGAATGAAATCTTGCTGACTGGGAACACTACAAATTTATATTACATAATCTCAACTGGGCCCTCATTGTGGCAATGCAATCCTTTAATACCTCTCTGATTCACTCTCCCATTCACCACAGTGGTCAATCTTTTGTATCCCTTCCTAAGCCTCCCTCCCACCATCATCTCAGTCGAGGACTGTGTCTAATATTTCACCAAAAAATTGGAAATCATTTGCTGAAATCTCCCTCTCTTCCCTCCTCCTCATCTTACAACACTCAAATATCTTTATCCACTATCTCCTCTTTCACTGGTCTCATATGAAGAGGTGGCCCTTCTCTGTGTCAAGGCAAATACTTCTACACACATTCTTAATCCCATTTCATCTTCTCTTCTCCAGGAGACTGTTCTCTCCCTCTCTCACTAATCTTCAATCTCTTCCTGTCTACTGGTTGTTTCTCTGCTGCCTACAAATGCGGCCATGTCTCCTGCATCTTTAAAAAACAACATAAAACAAACAAAAACGCCACCAAACTAGCAGCAGATAAGTGGTGAAGTGGATAGAAGAGTGCTGGGCCTCGTGTCAAGAAGACCTGAGTTCAAATCTAGTCTCAGATACTTACTATCCTTGTGACCCTGGGCAAATAACTTAACCTCTGTTTGCCTCAGTTTCCTCAACCTTTTGTGGCAGGTGCTGCTATTAACCCCATTTCACTCAGAGGGAGGGGATTCAGAGGCCTGCTTTGCTGGGTTGTGAAGATCAAAGGAGATAGTGCTTGTAAAGCACTTAGCAGAGTGCCTGGCATGCACCAGGACTCAGGGGTGAGGAACCTGCGGCCTCGAGGTCCCATGTGGCCCTCTAGGTCTGTCAAGTTTGGATTCAGTCAAAGGGCTGCACTTGAGGACCTAGACGGCCACACGAAGCCTCGAGGCTGCAGGTTCCCCACCTCTAGATGATACATAAATGCTTATTCCCTTCTCCTCACCCCTACCCTACCCATCTCTCTCCTCTTTGTGGTTAATCTCTTTGAGAAGTCCATCCACACATGGTGCCTCTGCTTCCTAGTCTTTCACTTGCCAACCCTTGGAAATCTGCTTCTGACTTCAACTATCCAACCAAAAAGACTTTCTCCAAATTTACCAACAATCCCCTAATTGCCAGATCCAATGGTCTTTTCTCATTTTTCACCCGTCTTGACTTCTCTTTGGGCTTAGAAACCATCAAGTACTCTTTTCTAGATACTCCATTCTCTCTAGTTTTCTTGCCCCTTCTCACTCCTGCTTCTCTTCCTACCTGTCTGATCACTCAGTCCTCTTTGCTGGATCTTCATCCAGGTAGAAATGGCTAACTGTAGGTTTTCTGGCCTTGGCCTTCTTTTCTTTTCCCTCTAAACTACCTTGCTTGGTGATCTCATCAGCTCCCCTGGGTTCAGTTATCACCTCTGTGGAGATGATTCTCATATCTACTCTACTCTGATCTGACCTTAGATCTACGATTCTAGGACTCAGAGAGTGGGAGGTAGGGGGTACTCTGGTTCATAGCTTCCCCACAAGGAGGGTGATGGTGATGCTGGACCTCGATTATCCCGGACCTCTTATCCAGCCCTAACCTCTTTCTTGATGTCTATCATTAATTACCTATTGACCATCTCAAACTGGATGTCCCATAGACATCTCAAACTCGAGCCATCCAAACTTGAATTCATCATCTTCCTCCTCTACCCTTCCCTAACCTCCCTTCTTCTGAACTTCCCTAGTATCTTCACAGCATCTCTGGTTCCCTCCTCTCCCATCGCCACCCTGGTATAGGTCCTTGTCACCTGGACTACTGCAATAGTTGTCTGGTTGGTTTCCCTGCCTCAAGTCTTTCTCCACTCCATCCCATCCTCTGCTCAGTTGTCAGAGGGATCTTAAAGTGCAGGTCTGATGACGTCAACTCCCTACTCAACAAAACTCCCAGTAGCTCCCTATTACCTCCAAGATCAATTCTAAAAACCTGTTTGACTTTTAAAGCCCTCTAAAGCCAGACTCCTTCCTAACATTACAGTCTTCTTATGATTTATTTACTTCCAGGTATTCTACAGTCAAGCAATACCATCTGCCTTGCAATTCCTCACACATATAACATTCTACCTCTAGCAAGTGTATGTATGAAGTCACATTTGAACTCAGGTCTTCCTGAGACTTGAGGTCCAGTGTTCTATCCATTGTACCACCTAGCTTCCAGACTCCACGTACAAGTGAGTATGTTTGGGAAAGTATTCCCTGGCCTCAGAGAACCAGTTTGGAGTTCCAGTTCTGACATCTACTCGTCAAGTGACTATAGGTAAGACACAATCCCTCTGACGCTCAGGTTTTGTTTTGTTTTTCACCTCTAGAATGGGGAGAGAAATATTAGTACTAGCTACCTAACAATGTTATTGTAAGAAAGCATTTGTAATCCTTAAAATGCTATTAAAATGTAGAGTATTATTAAATGGACTGCCAACCTCTGAGTCAGGAAAACTTGGGTTCAAATCCCTTCTCTGATCCATGCTAACTGTGAGTTCGTCACTTGAGACAAATCAACGTCTTAATGCTTTAGGCTTTCTCAGAGGAGGGAGTCTGAAGAATCTGCATTGGTAAGGCATTTGCTCATGTGAAGTTCCCTGTCCAAGAATATCACCAGCCCAGGACAAGCAAATGCTCAAATGGCTGAGATCTCTCCAACAAAGCAGATGCTAAATGCATATATACATGTATATACATACATATTCATGTGTATTTATGTATGGGTGTCAGACGTGTATTTTTTTTAAGTGTGTTCGCCTGTAGGGTTCTTTTCAGAATCTCAAAGAAAATTATCTTTGTTTTATATGTAATATTACTGGGTGGAAGAGGGAAGAAGAAATAATAAAGAGGTAGGCTAAGAAGCACTTTACTTTTAATAGCCGGTTCTGCCAGGAGCCAGGCGTACAACTCAGAAATTCACAACTCCAAGCATGGGCTCTGTCCCACCCACCTCCTGCAGCTAGGTCAGAAGGAGGGGTGTGCCTAGGGCGCGCCAAGGGGGCAGCAGGATGGGGCAAGAGCCTCACTTGAATTAGTGTATTCCAAAGAGGAGGGGTGAGGGAGATGGTTCTAAGAATCTGCCTCTGCTAGGAGAGTGGGAGGCGGGGGATACCTTGGCCCACAGTTTCCGGACAAGGAGGGCGGTGGTGCTGCTGCTGGACTTCGCTTTCTCCATTCTTGCTTTCTCGGAGAGGCTGGCTGGCTGATTATTCTAGGACCGGTCCAGGTCTCAAATTCTGGGACTGAGTCAGGCCGTGTTTTCCCTCTGTCCCTGGGAGCGGAGCGAACTACTCTAATCGCCGGCTCTGGATCCGGTTCCTTAACCGGACCGCGTTTTCTCTGTGTCCCTGCGGCAGAGCCGGTGGCTGGGGTTTCAGTGCCTTCTAGAGCCAGGAGCCTGGAGCAAAGAGGGTTCGAATCTCAGAGAGGGAAGAGGCTGCTGTGCCATCGGAGAGCTGAAACCTCGAAGCCCGGTCCCAGACCCAGGACCCGGTGGGCTGGCAAGGAACGAGAGCCGGCGCCAACATGGTGAGTATGCCTGGCTGCGCCTCTGGACCGGGGGAAACGGTGCGTAGCAGCAGCACATCCCGCCCTGTCCCCGGGACCCTCAAGGAAGAGCTCCCTGTGTGACCTTGGACAAATCGCCCCTCTTCTTGGGGTCTGAGTTTCCCCGTCTGTAAAATGGGGTTAGCAGGAAAGGAGGAGGCTAGATTTAAGAAATCTTCAAGTACCCTTCCAGGATTCTTGCTTATTGAGGGTTTTCAGTGGCTCAGTCCCGCGGCACTGGCGGAGTGTTGCGGAAAGGGGTTTAGGATTCTGGGCTGCAGGGCTCTGTTGGGGTTCTCCCTTGCAGCCTCGACAGCCTCCAGCCGCTGGCCCCCGACCGCACTTGTTCTCTAAGAGCTCCAGCAGGATAATGGCTCAATCTGGCTGGCCAACCTTGGGACTCAAAGGCCAGCGCCCCCCTCTCCTCCCCAACCCCAGCCCTGGCTCAGCCCTTGGGACCATAGAAGGTGGGAGGGGCAGGGAAGAGCTGTATTATAGCCCAGGTCTGTTCACAGAGAGCAGCTGCTCCAGGAATGCGGATTGGTGATCCGGGGTGGCCCGTCTCATGTGTCTACCCATGGTCAAGTCTATTTGCATCCTGTGACACAGCCTTGGGGGGAACCCCATGCCTGACCTCGCCTTGCTTCCTCATCTCCCCCGCCAACCAGTCCCTAGCTCCCCAGGCTGAGTGGGAGGGAAGACACCCCCCTATAACCCCCTCCCCCCACCCCAGGCATAGTTGCTGAAAACCCCATTGAGTTCTAGATGATCTAGACTTAGAGCTAGGTGGGTCACCTTCACCTGGGTCTAGGTGGAAGCTGTAACGAAAGGCTAGGTGGGCTGGGACAGGTGGCCTGGCACACTGACCAAATTCTGCTTGGAGCTGTGGCTCCCTGTGTGGGAAGGTTTGTGAGGCTGTCCTGGGCTGGGCGCCTACTAGACCGGCGCAGACATGGGTGGGGACAGTTCCCTCCCCTGCCTCTTGGGGCTGGCCGTTTGGCTGGGTTACCTGCTGGACTTGCCTGCTGAGCCACCCCTTCCTTCTGGCTGTCCGAGAAGGGGAGTGGAGGCTGGAAGGGGTTGGAATTTCCTGGTGTGTGTTTGTATATGTGTGTATACACACATGCATGTACATGTGTGTATATTCACATATACACCAACGCACACATACATATGTGTATGTATGCACGTGAGTACATGCACACCCATACATATTTACAACCCCATCTGGTGTTCTATGCACACATAAATATATGTGCATATATTTACACATACACACATGTGCATATATGTATGTATACATCTATGTTTTATAAATATATTCCCTCCAAAAGCTGTTCTCCCCTTCCTTCAGGTAGCCCAGGATTTCACAGGTGAGGCTTTCTGCTTTTACCTAGTGGCTCTGGCTTGTGAGAGAGGTATTGGGAGTTCAGGGTCAGAGTGGGATATGATCTCTGTCCACTACAGGATCCCAACCAGAGCTCTGAGAACCAGGAAACTGTATTGACCCCATTGCTCAGATGGGGAAAATTAAGGTTTTGAATAATGAGACAGGTGGATGGTGGAATTATAATTCTGGGAGTTCCCTTCTTCCTGCCCCCATTCCCCAGTTCTTCAGCTAGAGACCCAAGGGGCTAGAATTCCCCCAGGGCATTTTTCCATCTCCCTCCTGGGGATTCAGCCTTCCCTGGCTGAGCAATAGATAAAATGCATTAGTATCACTTCATAGGCTCAGAATGCTTTGGCTGGGTCCCCAAAGAATACAAAAGGCCCCTACCCAGCTCAGGGCCTGGAATCTCTGTCTAGCTTGTCTGTGATCATAGAATCATTCTGGAAGGGACCTTGAAATTTAATCAATGGCCCTCTCAACCTTCTCCAGAGAGACCTGTAGGGAGGCAAGATTTACATTCTCTGTATCAAATGGGTGTCTCAGATACTAGGGTCTCTTCCCTCTTTGTCTTCATCCCCATCTTAACTAAGGGGAGGCCTCCTATCCCTTTTAGTCCTGGCCTCAGCTTCAAAGTCTGATGTGGGGGCTGTACTGTGAGGGAGATCAGGCAGCTGGCTGTTAGGATCAGTGTCCTTTTGAAGGGGCCCTACCCGCTTCCCAGCCCCAGCCTCATATCTGGAGCCACAGTGACATTCTGGGCCCCTGCCCAGCCCCATTCCTCTGGAGAGTGACATTCCCAGTTTCTCCTCTCAGCTTCACCCTCTTCCCCTCAGGCCAGAGTTGTATTTGCAAAACAATCCCTCCAGCAGGTGGTGGGGCCCTTCTGTGACCGAGACCCCCAGCCTTCTGTAGTTAAGGGGCTGGCCTCCTCCTATGCTGTCTCCCTAGCCCAACTTGGTCTCCCTGCTAAATGAGGCCTAGCTAGGAGTTGGGGTTGGGTGGGAAGACTAACTGAATGGTCTGTGATGCTCAAGATCTGGATTTGACTGGTCTTCAGGTTTAAGGGACCTTAGAAATCTGAAGAAATAGTGGAGACTCACTCCCCCAGTGAGTGAGCTCTGTGGGTCAGCTTTTGTCTCTCAGCCCATAGAAAGGTGCTAGCAGTGGGCATGGAGGTGGCTCAGATATTGTGTGTCTACCTCTCTGGGGGACTTGTCCTAGATGGAATCACTCTGACAGTGATGCATGTCAGAGATGGAAAGAATCCTGGAGACCATTAAGTCTAGCTCCTTCCCTTTGCAGAGGAAGAAATTGAGGACTGGGAGGGATTTGGCCTGGGTAATAATTTTGGCCTGGGAATGAATAGCAGAGTTTAGCCTGGAGTGGGTAGAGGGGACAGATTGGATTTGCCCTACCCAAGGAAGCCTCCTCTGGCTGCCTATGGGGACCATGAGGAGGCCCTGATTCACCTCCAAGGCTCCAGTTTACTCATCCTAATCCCAGGAGCTGGTCAGGAAGCTGCATTCTCCCTTCTTCCCTCCCTTCCTCCCCGCCCCCCCCTTTGGGTGGCTAATCCCAGGTTGCTCCCCTTCTTGCCTTACCCTGAGTTCTTAGCTCTGATGCCTCTAGGCAACAGCCTGGAATGTGTGTGTGGAGGGGGGAAGGTTTAGGGGGTGGAAGGTGGACCTCAACCAGCAGCTGAAGGCTTGGGGGAGGGGCTGAGGATATGGAATCCCTTTAAATTGAGGGATTAAACTGGCCCCCAGAGCTCTGCATTCCTTGGAGTTCCTTCCGTTCCAGGGCCTGCCCCAGAACTTGGACCACTCCCTGAGCAGGCCCAGTGGGGTCCCTTGGGGAGGACTGAGACCAGAGGATGGTCCTGAGACTGACTCTTTCTATCTCCAGCCAGCCCTGCCCAGTCCAGTTCAAGTCATCAAATCCTTACAGAATTCCTGGTGCAGTGGAATGGGGGCTGGATTTGGAGTTAGAGGACCTGTCAAATCCAGCTGTGCTACTCACTATTTGTGTGACCTTGAGTAAGTCACTTAACTTCTCTAGGTCTCAATTATCTTACCTCTAAGATGAAGAGATGAGAGTAGATGCCCTCTGAGGTCCTTTTCAGCTCTGTTCACTGGGGAGTATAGTATAGCAGACCCAAACCTTGTATGTTAGGAAACCTCGCTTTCTTCCCTGGCCTGGCTCTAGCCCCAGGGTGCGTGTGTGAGTGTGTATGTGTGCGAATGTGCACTCGGGTTACTTTCTTCATGCATGTGGCTTCGGCCAAGGCACTCTCCCTTCTGCTTCTGCTGTTCTATCTCTCATTTTCAGGCTCTTGGACTCCTGGACTGAGACCCGGACTCAGAGAATAGAGTATGGGTTGTCAGAATTAGAATCAAGGTTATGTGCCTCCCCCCCTTTCCTGCCCCACCCCGAGTAATCTTTTCCTAGGAACTCAGTGTCTGGACTAAGGGTGAGGAGGAATACCAGCACATGGGCCCTCTCAGGTAGTTGGAGCCTTCGATAGAGGGAGTCTGGCCCTTTTAGCCAACCAGAGATCCAAAGGATGACAAACTGACCCCCTTCCCTGTGAATCCCCTCTGGATGTTGTCCAGCTCTGGATGGGAAGCAAAAGTGGATAGGGTCTCGGACTCTGAGTCAGGAAGACTTGAGTTCATATTCTGTCTCAGACTCTTACTGAGTGACCCTGGGCAAGTCGTTTGACTTTTTTGTGCCTCAGTTTACCTATAAGATGAGAGAGTTGGACTTAATGTCCACTAAAGTCCCTTCCAACCCTACTTCTATGAACCAATGCTCTTTGATGCTGTGGTTGTTTGAAGAGAAACAAAGACACAGAAAAGGCCTAGGCTTGTGTGAATCCAGTAGAGAACGGAAATGAAGAGTCCTGGCCCCTGGCATGCCTTTGATCAGAGTCACTGAACAGAGTCACTTCGGGGCTTCCCCAGGCTCTGCCTCACCCTCTCTCTGCCCCTCCCTTCATTTCCACTCTCCCACTCAAGCTTCGCCCCCCCCCACCCCGGCCAACACCCCCAGCACCCTTGGTGGCTGGGGGGTACACAGGCAGGGGCAGGAATGTGCCTGAGGGTGACTGGGTGAATGATGCCCGGGTCATCATGGCCTAGGAGGCGGGGCTGGCCTGTGTGTGCATGCTTCTGACATGGAGAGTCTACTCTGAGGAGAACACAGTGGCTGACACAGTAGGCTTCTAAGAAATGCTTGTGAATTCAATGAAAAAGGAGTTGGAAGAAAACACTGATTTGGAGTCAGAACCTGGACTCAAATCACTGGGCTCTCTGCTGTGTGACCCTGGTCAAGTTACTTGCTCTCTCTGGGCTTCTGTTTCATTTTCTTTAGAATTAGAGGTTCAAAGTAGGTGATCTTCCAGGTTCCTTTTAGCTCTAGTTGCTGTGACCCAAAGCAGGAGATAGAACTCCTGGGTTCTTGTTCTATTTGCAGGAGGTACCTTGCTATATACACCAGCACCCCCAACCCCTGGCATGGCAGGGCCTCCCAAAATTCTACCCACAGTAAGAGGCCTGAGTAATAGATGGGAAATAAGGCCCAGAAATAAAGAGGGAGATTGGGGGGGAAACCTGCTTCTCATTGCCTCAACTCTCATCGGGACCAAGACTTTTCTGTTGTTGTTGTTTTTTGTTTTTGTTGGACACTGGAAAATGAGGGGTGGGGGAAGTCCCCTGGGTGGGAGGAAGAACAAACAGGTCTTTCCCCAAAGTTTGTACCTTTGTTTTTTTTTAAAGGCTTTCAAGTCCCTGACTTGGGGGTGGGAGCTCATTGATTCATAGATCTCCACATACATACATTGTCTTTCAAAAAGACAAAAGCTGGAAATGGTTCAGGAGAATGGAGCTTGGAGTGGGGTTGGGGGTGGGGGGAGCTGGCTTTGTGTGGGGGGATGGGGAGGAAGGGAGGATCTGGAAGCCCATTAGGGGACAAGCTCCCAGGTGCATGGCCTTCTGTCCTTGAGTGAGTGGAAGCCTGGGGTCTGAGGAGCTTAGGGTTCTGTGTGTAATTGTTTTCTTGTGAGGGTGGCATGAGTAAATAAGTACCCCCCCCAATACACGCACACCTGCTCCGGATGCCACTGCCCATTGTCCAGCTCCATCCTTCCTCCCTCCAGGCCCTTCCTGTTTGTGTCTCTCCAGCTGTGGGACTCAGGGCCCTACCCCCTTCCCTAGGCTTCCCTTGGGGCCCTTCACCAGGGAGGGTGAAGGCATGGACTGGACTGTGTCTGTTTCCCTATACGATGTTCTTCTTCTCTGCACCCCTTCCCCCGCAAAGCCCTTCTGCCCAGCTTTAGCTGGGTCCCAGAAGGAGAAGAAAACAGAGGTCAACTCTGCAAGGAGCAGGTCTAGGCTCAGAGAGAACCCCCTGCCCACACTCCTACCTACTCCATTGTGTACTTGGACCTCTCCTGCATGGGGGTGACAGGCCCAAATCTAGTCTCAGGTTTTCAAGGGCAGCACCTCCTTCCCCAGCCCCCCTCCAGCCCCTCAGAGTGGATCCAGCTTAGAATATGTAAGGGGGGGAGAAGGAGCATAGGGAGGGAGGACCACAGGCCCTGGGAGTCTTGTTTGTACTTGGTTATTCCCGCTGGCTAGGATGTACTTGCCGCAGGGAATGGGCAGACATGGTCAAAGGCCTCCCCCTCTGTCACCCACTCATGACACTCTGGATTTGGGGGGAGGAGGGAATTTGGATCACCAAGACTTGAGACCTAGCTCTGCCTGGTGTTGGGAGGGGGTTTGTGAGTGACAGAGTGGGTGGGGGCACCTTTAGCTGCTGGACAGAGAAGCTGCGCTCTGGAATGGTGGCATTGTGGGCCAGGTAGGCCAAGCTTCTCAGGAATGGGCAGAGAATGGCAAAGGAGTTCTATAGTCGTTAGGGTGAAGTCGTACATAGCCAAGGGAAGTGTCTGCCTTGGAAGGGGTGGGGGGGAACGCCCGTCTGATCTTGCCTGTGGTTTTCCCAGAGCCGGCCCTCTCAGCCCTGCTGAAGCTTCATGGCAGCAGCCCAGAGACCTCCCCGAGCCAGTGACACTGCCCTCCACGCCATGGGCAGCGTGGGTAGCCTGCTGGAAAGACAGGACTTCTCCCCTGAGGAGCTGCGGGCTGCCCTGGGCAGCGCCCGAAGCTCACGCCAGCCCGATGGGCTCCTTCGGAAGGGTTTGAGCCAGCGAGAGCTCCTCAGCTACCTTCACCTGGCCAAGAAGGACTCCAAGGCCACCAAACGCTGGCCATCAGGGGGGTCTCACCGGCAGGGGGATGATGACCACCATAGCAACTATTCTGGTCTCTACTACCGGGAGCACCCCCGGGGGGCTGACTTCACTAAGACTTCTCTGCCTGAGCGAGGCCGCTTTGATAAGGTGAGGGAGCAGCAGCTGGACGCTGCTGGATCCGAGAGATAAGAGTGGGAGGAAAGAGGCTTCTTCTCTGCTTGCATGGCTGAGGGAATTTCACCAATAAGGAAGAATGCCCAGGGCGTGATGCTGAGACAGGGAAACAGGAGGCTCCACCTCTGGGGGTATCCACTCCAAGCAGCTGGGTGGGGGAACCTCTGAGAATGGGCAGAGGAAGCATGAACAAGGGCCCTTTTTCCTCCCTTTCTCCATCCAGTGTCGTATCCGACCCTCGGTCTTCAAACCAACGGTAGGTACAGGAAAGAGCTTCCTGTCCATGCAGAGCCTGGCAGCCCACAAGGGCCAGAAGTTGTGGAAGAGCAATGGTAGCCTCCATACACTTGTGTGCAACCCACCCCTGAGCCCTGGTCCCCAGGCCAGCCGTGCTCGGGCCCAGCTGCTGCAGGCACTAAGTCTGGACGAAGGTGGCCCCGACCCTGGCCTGTCTGATTCCTCCAGTGGCGGCAGCGGCGGCCCTGGCCCCTTCAGTGCCTCTGTGGGACACGTCAACCACCTTGGGGGCTCCCTGGACCGAGCTGCCCGAAGCCCTAAGGAACAGGCAATGATGACTGTTGGTGAAATGGGGCCATTGAGTTGCCTGCCCGAGCCCCCACCCCCCTACGACTTCACTTACACTGCTCAGATAGCCCAGGACTCGGTGGCCCTGCGGCAGGGCCAGCCTGGGGTTGGGGGACTATCGGAGCTGAAAGGAGGCCTCAGTGACGATGATGGCCCCAGTCCTTTTGCACAGGTGAGGGCCACACCCCCCAACCCTCCTCGGGCAACCCGTCCTCCTCTCTCTCACCATCGGGGCCCTACCCTCATGTTCTCTCCTCTCTTCGTCTGTTCCTCCCACCAGCCTCCCTTTCTCTTGCTCTGTTGGGATGTGTGGGGATTTCCGGAGAGCCCTCAGTCCTCAGGAGGGCTGTGTCCATGTCCAGGAAGGGAGGTTTGTGCCTGTGGTCCAGTCTCCCCTGATTCCCCGATCTCTCCCCCAGGAGCTGGAGGACAGGCAGCAGCTGTGGCTGGCCGAGCTGAAGCGGCTCTATGACGAGAAGCTGCAAGAGATGGCCCAGAAGGCTGAACGGAACGAACGGAGCCTCCAGCTACAGCTCTTCATGGCTCAGCAGGAGCAGCGGAGGCTGCGGAAAGAGCTCAGTGCCCTTCAGGGCCTGGCCAAGGAGCCTCCACACTCCCCGGAGAGCACCAGTCCCAGTCTGGAGGAGGAGGCCAAGTGGGAGGTGAGGGGGAGCTGGCAACCAGCAGTTACTGGAGGCCCAGCCCAGAACAGCCCCTGACCAGGGCTAGAAGACTGTGACTGAGATTCAGTGGTACCTTCTGTTAGAAGACCCGGCTCTGTTTTGAGGAAGGAATACCAGTTCTAGAATTAGATGTCTTGGGTTCAAATCCAGCTCTGCCATATGTTACCTGTGTGACTTTGGACAAATCATGTAGCCTTCCTGAGCCTCAGTTTCCTTATCTGAAAAATGAAGGGCTGGACTCGATGGAATGAGAGACCTCTTCCTGCCCTATGTCTGTAATCCTGATTCGGTCACCTCTAAGGCTCCTTCCAGCTCTAAATTTCTGAATCTATGAGCTGTGTGACCTTGAGCAAGTCACTTCTTGCCTGGTCTGTTTTTTTCTCCGTAAAATGAAGGGTTGGGCTAGACCAGGAGCTCCCAGCTTGGTCTGTGTGTATATATACCCCAAGATGGTACAAGAAGCTTGTCAAGGTGGCATGGGGAACATTTGGTAAATAGTCATATTATCCCATTGAAATGAACATATTTTATTTCTCATGTACACATGCATGATAAACTCCAGAATTTGTTTCCTTGTACATTCTCTAGGGGTTATTGGAAGGTTAACTGAAAGCCAGTGGGCATGGTGCCCAAAAAAGTTTGGGGAAACCCATGTTCTAGGTGGTTCCTTTCAACTCTAGATCCTATAATCCAATGATTCTTTAACCTAAATATCAGGTGGGGAGGAAGGAGCTAGGCTGAGGGAGCCATGTACCTGGGGAGGAGGGACAGGGGCAGGAGTAGCTCCTAAAGGTAAAAGCACACCTACAAAAGGTGGAGCCTAGAGAAAGAACAGCTCACACTTCTGGGGCGCTTCAGAGTTTACAAATCATTATTTACAACAATCCCGAGAGAACTGCATTACATTATCCCAGTTTTACTGATGAAGAAACTGAGGCCCGGAGAAAGGAAGGCCCCTCCAGCTTCTAAGTCAGAGAGAGCTCTAGAGATCCCTCCTCCTTTCATTCTCCCCACCCCCTCCTCTCTGATCCCATCTTCTCTAATGCCTCCCTCTTTCTCTTAGGTGGGTCAGAAGACCTCAGAAATCTCTCTGTTAAAGCAGCAGCTGCGGGAGGCCCAGGCAGAACTGGCCCAAAAGCTAGCCGAGATCTTCAGCCTGAAGACAAAACTGCGAAGCAGCCGGGCCCAGGCCGAGGCCAAGGACAGTGAGCTGGCCCGGCTCAGGGATACCCTCTGCCACCAGAGCCCCCAGGATGACCCAGGCCCAGGAGAACTGCCTGACGGGGGCTGTGAAACAGATGATTCCAAGAGCCAGGGACTTCGGGGGGAGGTGGGCAGTGGTGGGGCAGAGCGGCTGTGGACCGAGCTGCAGCGGGAGCGCCAGCAAGGCCGGGAACAGGCCCTGCTCTTTGAGCAGGAGAGGAGGACATGGCAGGAGGAGAAGAACAGGGTCCTGCGTTACCAGCGGGAGATCCAGGTGAGCTACATGGAGATGTACCACCGCAATCAGGCTCTGGAGCAGGAGCTGAGGGAGCTGCGGGAGCTGAGGGCACCACAGGCGCCCTGGAGCCCAAGGCTTGAGTCCTCCAAGATCTGAGTGATACTGGAGCTGAGTAGGTGGCTGCCACAGGACCCCCCAGGGATAGTCCTTGGAAAAAGTTGAGAGGGTGCCCCCTTCTCTCCCCATTCCTCTGCAGGGTCCCAGGCCCTGAGGAAGGATAGGATGGATAGCCCCATGCAGGGCTAGGCCAGGCCTGGGAGGAGGGCTTCCAGTGTGGGCACTGCCCTCATTTTGGTGCTTGGAAGCAAAAGCTCAGGGGTGCTTTTCTCCCCCTTCATCATATGTCCATGTGTGTCCCAGCCATGCCAAACCTAACCACTGCCTGGATTGGCTATGTGATCTTCGTCCCAGGCCCAGTGAAGAGGCTGGGAGGGTTAGAGTGGAGCCTCCCATGATACAGAGCTTGGTGGGGGAAGGGCTGCAACAGGAGAGGGAGCCTGGAGACCATGAGCCCCTGTGTCGTATCCTCCCTGACTCCCCATGAGCCAGCGTGAGGAGGCTTGGACACAGGTGCCTGCCCCTCAAAGAATAAAGCCATGTTTTGTTTTGTTTTTTAATTGGAGACTCTGGTTGCTTTGTTGAGTCCTATTTATGTCAAATGGTGTCCAGGAGGAGTATGTTTTGGAGAGGGTGAAGAAAAGCCTTGCAAAGACTCAGGTGGGGGGACAGAAAACCTAGCCCCATTTTAGACCCCCCTTTCCTGTCAGGATTTGCTTACCCTCAGGTAGGCCTGAATCCAACTCCACTGGGTTACGGCAAGGAAGGCATTTCCCCAGGCCTTGCTGGGCTTCTGGGCTTCTGGGCTTCACTGATTGATTCTCCTACCTTTCTGGTCTAGGTGAAGAAAGAAAGCCTCTCCATAATCCTACTTAGACATGGATTAAAAAAAAAACCCAAAACTTTATTAGGGACCTAAGGGAGGAGGTGTAAGGGGAAGTACTAAGCAAAAGAGTGATAGAAAGAAGTCCATGACCAAGTTTACAAAGGCACAAAGTCATTCTGTCCTTTGATGGTAGTTGATGTTTCTATGGGGACTCCACTTTCCCCTCCCCCCATTAGCAGGCAGCCCAGATGCATTCCGGGGCACCTGGAGGACCCCAGCTTGATGTGATATCCCTCGGGACTCAATTTCCTCCTTCCCACTGATGGTGGGCTGCTCTTCTACAGCACCATGAGGATTCCTAGGCCTTGACATTGGTCATTATCTTGGGACCTCCAGGCCTCTCCATCAGCACTGTAGCTGAATTCTCTGACAGTATTGTCTTGCCCACTCAGGGTGACCTCTTTGAGAGCAGGGTAGGGGGTGGAGGAGAAGGTTGCTTCTTCTTCTCTTTGTGTCCCACATAACAAATACTTTTTCTTTCATTAAGGTTTAGAAAGCCCATTATCTCCCTTGATCTTCACAAGACTATTATTCCCATTGTACAAATGAAGAAATTGAGGCTCAGTGGCTCCATGGTCATCTATCTTTCCATGCTAAAATAGCCTCTCTGACCTCGTCTCAGTGGAAGAAGGAATTTCGGCCCTTATCTGGACCAGAAAGGCATTTCCTATAAGACAGACAACTCAATTCAGTTCAACCATCCTTTATCACACACCTACAGTGTGCAAGACAGCCTGTCTTGGACAGAGTGCTGGGTTTGGAGACAAGAAAACCTAGTTTCAAATTCTGCCTCTGACACTGAGACTCTGGGCCAGTCCCTTAAGAAAAATAGCTCACATTTACGTAATGCTTAAAAGGCTTGTGAAAATGCCTTACAAATATTATCTCACCATCCTCACAGCAACCCTAGGAGGTAGGTGCTATTATTATCCTCTTTTTACAGATGAGAAAATTGAGGCAAACTGTGACTTGCCCAGGGTCACACAGCTAAATGTCTGAGGCTGGATTCAAACTCATTCTCCCTGACTCTAGGCCCAGTGCTCTATCCACTTCACCCAGCTGCGTCTAGGGGCATGTGGCCACTCCCTCGGAGCTCTCGACTGTGTTATAGACTGTCTGTGTAGTTCTAGTGGGGGTATACAAGTTCCTCCAAAGGAAATTCCCTAAGCTAAGGAAATCAGAGCTCTAATACTCTACATGCCAGACCTTGGGGATAGAAGGACAAAACCAAAAAACCAAGAAAACAAAAAAAAGCGTTCAAGGAGCTTCTATTCGATTGAAAGGCATCATGATGTCCCAGACAGAGTGTTGGCCAGCTGGGAGCTGTGTGACCCTGAGCAAATCACTTAACTTCTACGATCTTTGCTTTCCTCATCTGTAAAATGGGGGTAACACTGGTAATACTCACCTCAGAGAGTTGTTGTGGGGCTCAGATGAGCTCATGTGTGAGGCATTTCACAAACCTCAAAGCACTAGGTGAATGTCTGCTAGTACGATTTTTATGCCTGGGGCAGGGCAGAAAAGACTGACATCAGCCCTTGCCCTGTGGAGCTGGATTTGGGTCTATTTATAAGAAAATTAAATTCAGGAAACATATGCTAGGCAAAGGTCTGGCGGTCAGGTGGGCCTGTTCTCTCCCTTCCACCCAGACTAGGTTTTTTACCAATGGTAACAGCGGCACGATTTGGTTGGCCAGTCCTGGTGAAGTACCCAGGGCCAGATGGTGGAGAGGGTTGAGGTGGCTTTGTTAAAAGGGAAAAGGATGAGAGTGTATGTGTGTGTGGGGGGCCCTCTGTAATGGGATCTACACGCATAGGGTGAGCTGGGAGTGGGCTATAGAGAAGGAAAAGTCAGTGTGTCTGGGGGTGGGTGTAATGTGGTATGTATATAATAAGGAAGTATGTGGGGGGCCCAGCATATGTGTATAGAGCTGAGTATGAGTACATACTAGGGCGGGGTCCAGCTTTTTTGACATTTGCTTTCCTCTGGGGTGGAAGGACAGCCTGACCTTGCTTTGAGGGATGGAGGGTGGGGCGGGGGGGGGGGGGTCCTGGGAACTGTAGCCTGACTGCTCTCTGGAAGATGGAAGCCCGGCTGTTTTGAGGCTGTTTGTTTTGTGAGCATTGAGTTTTGCAGCATGTCCCCAGCAGATTTCAGCGTGTCTCCTGAAATCATCTCGAAGGCACCAATGTTGACAGGGTCCAGGGACTTCGTTGGTCAAGCCTGACTCATTGGCTCAATTTCTATCCTTGCATCTAGTGATACCAAGAATGTTAGGGGCTTCAGCTGGTCCAGCCATAACTGAAGGACATGGCCCTAAGACAGCAGTGTAAGCTCAGTCCTTTTCTTGCCCGGACTCCCACAGGGTCAGAGGGGAAGGCAGGGCAGGATGAGCTCCAAGGTGCCACCACCCCTTCACCAGCCACTGGCTCCTTTTCCAGGGTGGTGGCTGGCTCAAGCTCTTGGGCTCAGCACCTCTGCTGGGGCCCAGGCCTCTTCACAGCTTCTGAGTACCCACAGCAGCTCCCCACCCAGCAATTAGTGTGCTGGGGAGTCGGGAGAGGGCAGAGGGAGGCGGCACCAAAACTTGGCAGAGGAGCCAGAAACCAAGCTCCTGCCTGGCCCAGATGTGGTGGGGGTGGGGCCCGGAGGGGGTGGGGCAGACAGGAGTTGATGGGTCTCAGAAGGAAACTTGATCTTCCTTAGCTCATCTGCTGCTCAACAAACCTGCCGAACCAAAACAAGCCAAATCAGCTAGAGATGTTGTGATGGGTGAGTCCAGGGTAGAGGTGGTCTTGGACCAGATTTCCTGATATCCTATAGCTGCCTCTCTCTCCCAAGGCCCTGACTTTTCCCAGGTCTCCCTCCTTTCCCAGCCCTCCCCTTACAGACTCTTCCATCCAACACAGACCCAGGGCTTTCCCAAACCCCAACTAGAGTTGGGAGCCCATGTCTGCTCTGGGCGGGGACTATGTCTTATCTTTGTATCTCTCCCAGCACTGAGTACTACTATACTTAGAAGATAGTTGCTAAATGTTTGTTGAATGAATAAATGATTGGCCTTGGACCTGAATGGAATGATAAGAGTTCATATGGATACAGTGCTTTAAGGTTTATAAAGCACTATACATATATTATCTCATTTATTTTCACAATAACCCTGGGAGGTAGGTGCTGTTATTATCTTCATGGTGACCCTGGGCAAGTCACTTAACCTGTCTGCCTCAGTTTCCTCAACTGTAAAATGGAGATAATAGAGGCGCCCACCTCCCAGGGTTGTTGTGAAACTCAAATGAGATATTTATAAAGCATTTTGCAAACTTTAAAATGCTATATAAATGCCAGCTAGTATTACTTTACAAATAAAGAAGCTGAGTCTTAGGGAGGTTAAATGACTTGCCTTTGATTAGGTTAAATATCTGTGGGGGGGATTATAGCCCAGGTCTTCCTGCCTCCAAATCTAGAACACTGTCCACTGTGTCACGCTACCTCGCTTGTCTTTCTCCTTTCTCTTCTTCCAAAGGTCTTTATTTCCTTCCTGCATTAATTTCATTTTAAAACAATTTTATTGGTAGCTTTTATTTTTGTACTACCAAGATTTCTCTCAATATTTCCCATCCTGTAGAGCTATTCAATATAACAAATAATACTTTTATTTGTTTTTTTTTTGTTTGTTTGTTTTGGCAATTGGGGTTAAGTGACTTGCCCAGGGTCACACAGCTAGTAAGTGTCAAGTGTTTGGCCTGAGGCTGGATTTGAACTCAGGTCCTCCTGAATTCAGGGCTGGTGCTCTATCTACTGTGCCACCTAGCTGCCCCTAACAAATAATATTTTTAAAGGAAAGGAGGCAGCTACTGTCAGAATGGATAGAATGCTGGATCTGGAGTTAGGAAGACCTGAGTTCAATCCGACTTCAGACACTTATTAGCTGTGTGACCTTAGGCAAGTCAGTTAACTTCTGTTTGCCTCAGTTTCCTCAAATGTAAAATGGGAATAATAATGGTCCCCACCTCACAGGGCTCCTGTGAAGATC